CAAGATGTATGTCAACTTGGCTAGGCCATGATTCCCAGTATTGTGTCATTGTCCTCCATTTAGTGATCTGATATAATTATCCTATGTGTTGTAAATCCTAACCTCTATGATGTTAATGAGGCAGGATTAGAGGCAGTTATGTTAATGAGGCAGGGTTGTATCTTGAGTCAATCTTGTTTGAGATATAAAGGAGAGAAGCAAGCAGAGAGGAGGGACACCTATTACCACCAAGAAAAAAGTGCTGGGAGTGGAGTGCATCCTTTGGACCCGGGGTCCCTGCACTGAGAAGCTTCTAGACCAGGGGAAGATTGATGACAAGGACCTTCTCCCAGAGCTGACAGACAGAGAAAGCCTTCTTCTGGAGATAGTGCCCTGAATTTGGACTTCTAGCCTCCTGTGAGAGAATAGATTTTTCTTTGTTAAAGCCATCCACTTTATTTCTGTTATAGCAGCACTAGGTGACTAAAACAGTGCAACTGGTTAATGTGCTTGGCTGCCTAACGAAGGTTTGGCAGTTCTAGTTCACCCAGAGGCACCTCAGAAGAACTGTCTGGTGATCTCCTTCTGAAAAATCAGCCACTGAAAACCAGTTCCACTCTGATACACATGGGGTCGCTATCAGTTGGAGTCAACTTGACAATGTCTGGTTTTAGGAAACTAACACGCTGTAGACTCCCAGTGTGAAGGATAATGAATGTAGCCCCCATTTTGCCTTCCACTGGAAGACTTGGAGAAAAGTGATTATATTTATCCATGTGTCTAAACAAGATTGTTGTTGGGTTAGGTGCCATCAAGTTGATTTTCATCTCACAGTGACCCCATGTAACAGAGTAGAACTGCCCCATAGGGTTTTCTGGACTGTAATCTTTATGAGAAGCCCTGGTGGCTCAGTGACTGCTGACCAAAAGGTTGGCAGTTCAAATCCACTGCTCCTTTGTAACCCTATGGGACAGTTCTACTCTGTCCTATAGGGTCGCTATGAGTCAGAATTAACTCGATGACAACAGGTTTAATCTTTATGAGAGCAGATTACCAGATCTTTCTTCTGCGGAGCCGCTGGGTGGGTTTGAACCACCAATCTTTTGGTTGGCAGCCGAGCACTTAACTGTTGCGCCACCAGGGCTCCTTTAACAAGATTGGTTTGTAACTGTTACCAGAGTAGCGTGCATTATGCCTTGGCTCTTTTCTGAGAAGGATCTGAAAAGGAAGTGCTTTCCACACTAGAATCTCTACTGTGGCATATCACAAAAAGCAAGTTATAGAATGTTAGCCGGTGGATAAAACCCCATGGTGTCAGCTGCATATATTCCATCTGCCCAAGGGAGCAGAAAGAGAGGCCATGCTAGACCATGTGGTAGTCCTCTGGGTTTCTGCTCTTCCCATTAGCTGGCTCAGAATTTGAACTTTTCGTCCACACACCCTTGCAGGGGACCTTCCTTAGCTCTGATATTTAGGAGTGTATCATAACCTGTTCTGTTTTCTCCATCAGTCCAGTCCATCCTGCTTTCTGTCTTCTAGAGTTCCTTCCAAATTTCTCCTCCCCTGCTAGCTCTATTTAATGTTCATGCATGTGAAGGTGTCTTTCTGATTTATATCATTTCCTGTATTTCTGTGAAACCTCAGAAAAGAGGGAGGCAGATATGTTTGCTTAGGAGTTTTTTACTAAATTTCTTTTTCTTCAGAGAAAAATTGCTTTGCTGTTTTGTAAAAATAGTACCTTATTATAAAGAAATTAAGCAATTCAGAAAACAACAAGGAAGAAATATTTTAACCCCTCCTATAAATAATAATCATTAATATTGGGTGAACATCATTCCAGACATTTTGTATGCAGCTATAGAAAGGCTAGAGAAAAAGGTTTATAGAAAAATGGGATTATACGATATGTGGTATTTGAGTAAAAACTATTACATCAAATTTTACTGAATTTAACTTGTACAAGGACAGGTCATGGAAGCTCCACAGACACATCCAAACTCCCTGAGGGACTGAATTGCTGGGTGGAGGGCTGTGGGGACCATGGCCTCGGGGAACATCTAGCTCAATTGGCATAAAACAGTTTATAAAGGCAATGTTCTGCATTCTACCTTGGTGAGTAGCGTCTGGGGTCTTAAAAGCCTGTGAGCAGCCATCTAAGATACTCCACTGGTCTCATCCCTTCGGGAGCAAGGGAGAATGAAGAGAACAGGATACAAGGAAAAGATTAGTCCAAAGGACTAATGGATCACAGCTACCAAGGCTTCCACCAGACTGAGTCCAGTACAGCTAGATGGTGCCCGACTACCACCACTGACTGCTCTGACCAGGATCACAACAGAAGGTTCTGGACAGAGCTGGAGAAGGATGTAGAACAAAATTCTAACTCACAAAAAAAAGACCAGATTTACTGGCCTAAAGGAGACTGGAGAAACCCGAGAGTATGGCCCCCAGACACCCTTTTAGCTCAGTGGTGAAGTTACCTCCGAGGTTCACTGTTCAGCCTGGGAGTGGACAGCCCCATAAAACCAAATGGGACTAATGAGGCACAGCAGTCCAGGGACAAGGGCCAGAAGGCAGAAGGGGACAGGAAAGCTGGTGATAGGGAACCCAAGGTTGCGTAAGGATATTGTTGATGTGTTGTGAGGATGTTAACCATTGTCATAGGGCAACATGTGTACTAACTGGTAAATGAGAAACTATTTTATTCTGTAAGCCTTCATCTAAAGTGAGAATAGCAGCACAATTGGAAGAGCGTAGTCAATGTCACTGAACTGTGCATGTAGAAATTTTTGAAATGGTGTATCTTTGGCTATGTATATTTTCACCAAAAAAAAAAGGTCGAGAAGGGAGAGTGTTGACATGTCGTGGGGTTGTTAACCAATGTCATAAAACAATATGTGTACTACTGTTTCATGAGAAACTATTTGTTCTGTAAGCCTTCACCTGACGTACAATAAAAAAAAAAAATTTACTGAATTTAGAAGAGAAAGATATTGAGATAAAAGAGAAGGAATTGCTAAATTTTAAATAAATGTTTCTTCACCGAAAGAGATATTACCTCCTAAAAGATCCCTCTAATGTTACATAAAGGAGCCCAGGTGGCACAACAGTTAAGCACACGGCTGCTAACGAAAAGGTTGACAGTTCGAACCTCCCAGCAGCATGATCTGAAGACACGCTCGCATAAAGATGACAGCCTAGAAAACCCCATGGGGCAGTTCTACTCTGTCACATGGGTTCACTATGAGTCGGAATTGACTCGAAGGCACCCAACAACAATAACAATGTTATGAAAAATGTGAATCAATTGGAAAGTTTTTTTTAACTCCAGGATGAAAATTTACTTCCTCCTGTGAAAGAGGTAAAATCATCGATACTCTCGTATCTCCTTCCTCCTTTCCCTTTTGCTAGTTATACATATATTTTTTATACCCGCAAGGTGTAATGTTCACATTGCAATATAACCAAAATTCATGTAATTGTTTAGTGTTTGTTCTACAATTAAATAGATTCGTTTTTACCATCAGTCTTTCTATTATAGCTTCATTACCAAGGTATTTAGAATCATCTCCTAGTTGCATTGATTTATTTTTCGTTTTAGCAAAGCATTTTTTTGAAAAAGGGTTGATGTAAGCTACATACCCAGAGTTCTTTCATGTTGAAAACATCCCCCTATTGTCTTTATACATGAGCAGTACCTTCTCTGGATTCAATATTCTTCGGTTCACACTTTTTTTCTTCTGAATTTTGTAGCCATCACCCCATTGCCTTCTTAAAATGATGTGACTGGAGGAGTTCAGTGCCAGCCCGATTTTCTTTCACTTTGCAGGTGATTTACTTTTCTTTCTGAGTTTCCAAGGAATTCATTCTTTATCCCCCAAATTTAAATTCTTTATCAGAATATATGTCCATATTACTATTACTGTATTAAATTTTTCTCTGGCTGCTATGTATTTTTTCAATTAGTGGATTCAGTTTTTATTTCAGGGAAATTTTCTGTTAACGTATCTTTGAATTATTTTTCTATTCCGTTTTCCTCTACTTCTAAGATGTTAATTAACTTTATGTTACATTGTTTCTTTTTGGACTGACTTGATGGCAACTGGTTTGTTTTGGTTTGACATTGTTTTTATCTGTCTTCTACGTCTATTAGTTTCTTTCTAATTGTAGAAAACCAGTTTGTCTTTTTTTATCTGCATCCGTTATGATTATCTCAAACTTTTATATTAGTAGCATAATTAAAATTTTTCTGATATTTCAAAAAAAAAAAAAAAACCCATTGCTGTCGAGTTGATTCTGACTCATAGCAACCCTATAGGACAGAGTAGAACTGCTCCATAGAGTTTCCAAGGAGCACCTGGTGGACTGATATTTCAAACATACCAAAAACAGATGAGTGTAAATATAAAGAATGATAACCAAATAAACACCCATATTCCCAAACTCAGCTTAAGAACTAGAATAATATAACTATATCTTAAAATTTCTACATGTCCCTCTCAGATTCCATGCCCCACCCTTTGAAGTGGATTGACCAAAGTGATGGTTTTTTTCAGTCACTTCATATGCATGTAAAGCTGGACAATGAATAAGGGAGACTGAAGAAGAATTGATGCCTTTGAGCTGTGGTGTTGGCAACGAATATTAAATATGCCATGGACTGCAGAAGAATGAACAAATCTGTCTTGGAAGAAATTCAGGCAGAATGCTCCTTACTTTGCACATATTATCAGGAGGGACCAGTCCCTGGAGAAGGACATCATGCTTGGTAAAGTAGAGGGTCAGCAAAAAAGAGGAAGACTCTCAACTAGATGGATTGGCATAGTGGCTACAACAATGGGCTCAAACATAGTAACGATTGTGAGGATGGCACAGGACCAGGCAGTGTTTCGTTCTGTTGTACATAGGGTCGATATGAGTTAGAACCAACTCAACAGCACCTAAAACAACCATCTATAAAACTTATCTTTCGTAAGATTCTGTATAATAACAATACTCGTACCCCATTTTGTCTTTTTCAGATTCTAGTAAAGAATAACCACCCTTCAGACAAGATCATTGTCTTGCCAGGGAAAATTGAAGAAATCTCACTTCCTGAGGCTGCAGATGTGATCGTTTCTGAACCAGTGGGGTACATGCTGTTCAATGAGCGGATCCTGGAGAGCTACCTTCACTGCAAAAAAAGGCTGAAATCCAATGGTGGGTTGGCCCGTTCCCGGTTTAGACAACAGGCTACCTTTTCCCTAAATGGTTGCCATTTTCTTTTCCCCACATTTGATTCCAGACAGAAAGGAGGAGAGGGCATTTCCACTACACTCAATTCTTTGATCTCCTCATCTTGCTCTTCCATTGCAAATGAGCTAGTCTCTAGCCACAGGAATACAGGTGGCCACGCAGCACACAGAATTCAGTATGGTACAGAGGACCTGTTCAGAGTTATGCATTTTTGTCTTGGTTTCTTAATGAACGTGGGCATACAATTGACCTTTAGTCTTTGGTTTCCTCATCTGTTGTTGTTATTAGGTGCCATCAAGGTAATTTAGACTCATAGCGATCCCGTGTGACAGAGTAGAACTGACCCATAGGATTTCCAAGGCGGTAATCTTTACGGAAGCAGACTGCCGCATCTTTCTTCTGTGAAGCAGCTGGTGGGTTCGAACCGCTGACCTTGTGGTTAGCAGCCGAGTGCTTAACCACTGTGCCACCAAGGCTCCTCCATAATTTCCTATGTGTTTCAAAATTTAGGGGCTCAGGAATAGACACTAAAAAAAAAAACTCAAGCAAAACTAAATAGACTCAGGCAAAATACACCTAATGTCAAGAACTTCATTAGCATTCCTGCTAGAAGGCAGCTCGGGCCGATCTCGGAAGCCCTGGGTTCATGAGATAAAATGAGACTGTGGGAGATGAAGGGAACAAAGCTGCTTGAATTTCCTCCTCAGTGCCTGAAGGAAGATTTTTTTAATGGTATTCCTTCTGGGTTTTTTCAGATAGCTAGGTGCTTTGATATGATGAGATTTTAAACATAGTTAATGAACGTGCACCTGTTGAGCCTTTCTAAGCTGAATATTTAGACTTTATATCTGGGCATCATTTTATTCCCCTGCAGTTTGAAGTGGATATAACTAGACATGCAGAGATGAATATTGATTTTTATCAGCTTTCTAACCTGTATGTTCCTGAGGGAAGGGATGATTGATTTTTTTCCTAATTATTTTTATTTTCCACCAAAGTAAGATGTAGATGAAAACATCAAATAATAATAAAAAGGCTTATAATGAAAAATAGTAGCTGTCTGCTGCACCTCTTCTCATTCCCAGACTGATCTCCTAAGGCAATCACTTTCAACTCTTTTCACTGTTTTTTTCTATTATTTATCTACATATTTCTTCATAAAATTATTCTATCTTTATTCTAGTCACTCTCTGGTTGAGAATTTAGCTCTTCTACAGAGTGTCGCCTTGACTTATCAACGCACCACCCCTCACACACGCCATCCTCTCAGTATATCTAGTGTTGTTAGGTGCATGACGTCAGTTCTGACTCACGGTGACCCTGTGTACAACAGAACGAAACACTGCCCGGTCCGTCACCATCCTCACAATCGTTGTTACGTTTGAGCCCATTGTTGCAGCAACTGTATTAATCCATCCCATGGAAGGTCTTCCTCTTTTTTGCTGACTCTACTTTACCAAGCGTGATGTCCTTCTCCAGGGACTGGCTCCTTCTGATAACATGTCCAAAGTACGTGAGATGAAATCTCACCATCTTCACTTCTAAGGATCATTCTGGCAAGTCCTCAATTCCTTCACAAGCCCTGGCGGTGCAGTGGTTAAAGCCCTTGGCTGCTAACAGAGAGGTTGGCAGTTTGAATCCAGTGGCCACTCTATGGGAGAAAGATGTGGCAATCTACCTCCATAAAGATTGCTGTTGCCGTTGTTAGGTGCGATCGAGTCGGTTCCAACTCACAGCGACCCTGTGTACAACAGAACGAAACACTGCCTGATCCTGTGCCATCCTCACAATCATTGTTATGCTTGAGCCCATTGTTGCAGCCACTGTGTCAGTCCATCTCATTGAGGGTCTTCCTCTTTTTTGCCAGCTCTCTGCATTTATTTTGTATCCATAAAGGTTATAGCCCTGGAAACCCTATGAGGCAGTTCTACTCTGTCCTATAGAGTCCCTATGAGTCGGCATCGACTTGACAGGAACGGTTTGATTTTTTTGGTTTTCAATTCCTTCTCTAAACCCTTGGGGCCGGATACATTTCAGAACTTAGAATTTGTAAGACTTGAGAAAGGCAATATGATCATGTACCATATATGACTTAATGCCCCAGGGGGATCTAAGGTGATACCCCGTAATGAAGCACACTACATTTCTTTAACAAAACATATGAATATTGATGCCAAGGGGAATAAGTAAAGACTAGAAATAGACTCATGTCAGTTCATGTCATTAAATGATGTTGCTGCAGACTTCTGGGATTTCAGCGTTTGAGAAAAGGGAATATGGCCCTGTATCATTATTTGGTTAAATGAGAGATCGATGTTTGCATTAACATGATGATGTCAATACCACTCAGTGCCGAGTCAGATGGTGTACTAGGTGTACTATGATTATGCTTATTTTATCAAATAATCTCCCCCCTCCTTTTGAGTTAATTGCCTTGTTTTTCATTAGCTTAGTTTTCTGTATGAACCAAAAACCAAACCAGCTGCCGTGGAGTCGATTCCAACTCATGGCGACCTCTTGGGTGTCACAGTAGAACTGTGCTGCGTTGGGTTTTCAATGGCTGGTTTTTCAGAAGCAGATTGCCAGGCCTTTCTTCTGAGATACCTCTGGGTGTCCTCAAACTGCCAAACTTTTGGTTAGCAGTGAGCATGTTAACCATTTGTGCCACCCAGGGACTCCAGTTTTCTGTATACTCATGGCTAATTGTTTCCACATCCGTACAGTGCTGACACATGCCTATCAATCTTGACTCTATGGAGGCCTTCCTCCTGTTATCCTGGGCCTTCTCCACCAGACAGGAATGGGTTGCTATCTCTCCAGTCTTATTGCCTGGTGTCATCCTTGAACTTACCATCACCATTAGTTTGCCTTTCCCTTCGTTGGTCTACACCATCATTGCAGCAAAGGATGTTCCCTACCAGCTTTGGAGAGAAGGGGCTTGAGAAGTTATTTTTGATTGAGTCCTCGTATGATCATTTGGCTAGGTGAAGAGTTCTAACTTGAAAACAATTTTTACTCAGCATTTTACGGCTTCTATTTTTGGTTTCCGGCTTCTAATTTTACTACTGAGAAGTCCAGTGCCATCTGACTCCTGAACCTTTGGAGTGACATAGTTTTTCCCTCTGGAAGCTTTTAGTATCTTCTCTTTATTTCTAGTGTTCTTGGTGTTGGTCTTTTTAATTCCTGTGCTCAACTTCCAGTGATCATTTTTAATCAGAAGACTCATGTCCTTCAATTCTTAGAGTTTTTCTTTTATTTTTGCCTTTGATGATTTCCTGTCTCCATTTTATCTAATCTCTTTGGAATGCCTATCAAGCTTGGGGCTCAGAACATCTTTCTCTGATGCTTCCCAAGCAGTGAAACAGGTCAGTTTTCTAAGGCTGCCTCATATTCGTCTGCCTTGAAATTGAAAAATCACCAAGCAGTCATTAATCTTTTGATACCAATACATGAGATTTAGATGGGGACATAGGAATGATGTTACAATAGTGCTCTGTCTCTGTCCACCTCTGAAAACATCCTAAATAAAATTAATGTTCTATTTTAATAGACACAGAGGGCAAGGATGGGGCCGGTGACCATCAAATGAGATTCTAGTCCCTGGATTTTGTTCTTTTACTTATTAGCTCTGGGATCTTGGGCCAATCCTTTGAACTTCTGTGTTCTTTAGTTTCCTAGTTTATAAAATGAGTAGAATGATAGTTGTTGTTACTTGCTACAGAGTAAACTCCAACCCATGGGGACCTTATGTATAACAGAAGGAAATGTCGCCTGGTCTGCACCATCTTCGTGAGCATTGGCATAGAATCATAAAAGCCAGTTGCTGTCAAGTCACTTCCAGCTCATGGGCCCCCATGTCTGTCAGAGTAGAACTATGCTCCGTAGGGTTTTCAGTGGCTGATTTTTTAGAAGTAGATCACCAAGCGCTTCTTCCGAACTGCCTCTGAGTAAACTCGAACCACCAAACTTTAGATTAGAAGCTGAGTGTGTTAACTATTTGCACCTCCCAGGGACCCCATAAATGGCACCTACTGTATATTGTTATGAGAATTAAATGAGTTAATACATGTAAAGTCCGTCGAAAAATGCATGGTATGCTTGTCATGATCAAGAAATGTTAGCTATTACTATTATTGTTTGTTATGGTTACGACAGCATCTCTGGTTTCTTAGGCCGTCCTCATTCCTTCGTTCGTGTATCTCTTTCACGTACAATTTGATAAATGGCCATGAAAAAGAGTCTCCCTAAGGGGACAAGAATCGTAATGCTGATCACCAGGTCTACCTGACTAGAAAGTGCCAGCTTCCAGCCTGCTAGTCTGGCTGCTCGTTTGCCCCCTAATGAATCTGCCTTTCCCCTGAAATCTGTAGATGCCAGGAACAAAAAGCAAGTGCGCGCCTCCCAGCTTGGGGGATGACAAGCCGCCATATAAGTGCAGGTTCTGACAGCCCATTTAAGAAGATAGTCCATCTGGTTATACGTGGATACATGGTCAAAGACTGGGAATAGAGATAATAATGTGACAGAATTTTGATTATTTCCAGTGCGAGGTTGTTTTTACAATAAATAAGAGTAACAATAAATAAATAAAAGGGAGTGCTTTGAATTCCAGGCATCCCTGGGTGGCACAGATGGTTAAGTGCTCGACTACTAGCCAAAAGTTGGCTGGTTCGAACCCGCTCAAAGGGACCGCAAAAGGCAGACCTGGTGATCTGCTTCCGAGAGGTTACAGCCTTGAAAAGCCTGTGGAGCACAAGTTCTCCTCTGCTCCGTGGGGTCTACTTGAGTCAGAATCAGCTTGATGGCGACCATCAACCACAGAATTCCAAGCCCAGGACACACAGGAAGGAAGAGGCAGTAGCTGAGAAGGTAATCTGCCAGGTTAAATGCCTCTTGTTAGACTGTGCAAGCTTTTCTCCGCAAACAGCTTTCTGACTTGCTTTGCCATTCTCTTTTCTGTCCCCTCCGATCCTCTGTCTACTTTTCTTTTTCTTGCTTTAAGGCAAAGTTATATTTTAGCTGTCACATGATACCTGCATGGAATTGAAGAATGGGCTTTGTCTCGGAAGGCAGGTGAGTGCACCCTTCAATCAGAAGTCAGGAGTCAACTTCTGTGTCTGTTGTCTTTTGCTCATTAGGAATGATGTTCCCGGTGTTCAGTGACATCCACCTGGCCCCCTTTTCTGAAGAACAGCTCTACATGGAACTCTACTCCAGAGCCAACTTTTGGTAATGTTCTAACTTCCCTTCCTTTTCCTTCATGATCAACCAGTTTGTCAGCTATTGACATTTTAGACTATATAATGTGAGGGGCAGTCCTATGCCCTAAGGAGCCCTGGTGGCACAGTGGTTAAGCACTCGGCTGCTAACTGAAAGGTTGGTTGTTTGAATCCACCAGCTGCTCTGTGGGTGAAAGATGTGGCAGTCTGCTCCCATAAAGATTTGCAGACTTGGAAACCCTGTGAAGCAGTTCTGCTCTGTCCTATAGTCAGAACCTGCTCGATGGCAATGGGTTTGGTTTTGGTCCTATGCCCTCTAGGATGTTCAGCAGCATCCCTGGTCTCACCCACTCAATGCCATTAGTACCTCCCCATAGTGACAATCAAAAATGTTTCTAGGTATTTCCAAATGCCCCCTAGGGGTAAAATCACACCTAGGTGATAACTACTGGAGCAGGCAAACCAAGTAGCTGCTTATACAGTATCAGACATCCAAAGGCTACCCTGCCGCTAAAATGACAACATCTCTCCCTGCCTGCTAGTCTTCCCTTTCCACCATTCCCCATTCATTCCTTTGGCTTAGGATAATCACTTCTGTTAGAATGTGCCTTTGACGGAGAGCATATCAATCAGTAGCCCTCAATGTACATGAGTTGGTCACATCTTTTTTACAGTGTTCCCTTTAATTGGCTGTTGGCTTTTGGGCACCTTACTTTCCCTTTCTGAAACTTGGTCTCCTCATTTGTAAGATGAGAACGAGTACAAAACTCTGCCAGTTCTAAACCATTCCTTCTGGGATTCTTTTCTGAGCATTGAATAAAGAAGAGGCCAGAAGGAAAACGAGGGTATTGGAACCCAAGGAAGGGAGATCTAGAATAGATCATCCACGTGGGAATGTTATGGGTGGGCGGGTGTGCACACACGTGTGTTGGCAGCTGGGTGAGGATGGTTGCTGAATTTAAGATTTGGGTTCCAGCTGAGGTGTGGAGAACTCTGCAACACAGAGATGTCCAAAGTCAATTCCTGGACTTTCCATTTCGTAATCCGACCAGTATCCTTGGTGAAGGGGCAGCAAATAGGGGTGCTGTGACTTCCTGGGTTAAAAAGTTCTTTGAGGAGAGTGGTCAGAGGGCTAAGATTTTTCCCTCTTCCACTGATTTTTTTTCTTGCAAAATGGACTTTCCTACCACAAATTCATGTTGGTGCCCCCAGGTGGCACAGGTAAGTGCTCAGCTACTACTGAAAGGTTGACAGTTCAAATCCACCCAGAGGTGCCTTGGAAGAAAGCCCTGATGATCTACTTCTAAAAGATCACAGCCATTGAAAACCCTGTGGAGCATAGTTCTGCTCTGAAACACATGGGGGCGCCATGACTCAGAGCTGTTTTGATGGTAACTGGTTTGGTTTTTGGGTTTTGTTTTTGGTACTGTGGATCCATAGAGTTTCATGGTTTCTGCTCAGTCTGTAATTCTGAGATTTCAAGCCACAGCCATTTTCCAATGGGGGTGCAATGGCTTCATGGTATGTGTGGGGAAGAAAGAGGAGTCTAATCTTAATAATCGTCATTAATCTTTGAGTTCATGCTAACCCTAAGTGTCTGTATTTCAAATGTGACCCCCTGAGCCAGTGGAGGGGCTGAAGAAGAGTTGGGAAATACGGCAACAGAGTAGACCAGCCTTGTGGGGAGGGATTATTTTCTGGGCCGTCCTTATGTGACCTCCCAACCATATCACCAACTGTCTTCTTATTGCCTTGGGCATATTAATAATCAATCACAGTAGATTACCTAAGCTCCCCATCAGCCTACAAACATATTGCTAAAACAAACAAGCAACAAAACTCCCAAAAAACATTCTATAGACCTCAGTCCCTGACAGCCACTGGCTCATCTCTCTAAGCCCTTTTGAAGCAAAATTCCTCAGAAGACCCCTGAGACTATGGTCCCCAGACACCCTACTAACTCAGAACTGAAGCCACTCCCGAAGTCCACCTCCCAGCCAGAGACTGGACAGACCTGTAAACAAACAATAACACGTGAGGAACGTGCTTCTTGGGTCAATAGAGTGTACCAGACCGAATGGGCAACACCTGCCCAAGAGCAAAGATGAGAAGACAGGAAGGGACAGGAAAACTGGATGAATGGACACAGGGTGGAAAGGGGGGAGTACTGACACATTGTGGGGATTGCAACCAATGTCACAAAACAATATGTGTATAGATTTTTGAATGAGAAACTAATTTGTGCTGTAAACTTTCACCTAAAGCACAATTTTAAAAAAAACCTCAAAAGAGTTGCCTATACTCACAGGCTCCAGGTCCTCCAATTTCTCTCTGAAGCCATTCTTCCAAAACAGCTCTTATGAAGGTCACCTGAGCCCTGTTTGCCACATTGTTAAATCCAGTGTTTGGTTCTCACTTCTCAATTTACTCAACCTATTTATTGAAAGGAAAGATGTCACCTTGAAGACTAAGGTGCGCCTGACGCAAGCCCTGGTGTTTTTCCAATCACCTTATACACATGAGAAGCCTGGATGATGAATAAGGAAGACCGAAGAAGAATTGGGGCCTTTGAGTTGTGGTATTGGTGAAGAATACTGAATATACCATGAACTGCCAGAAGAACGAACAAATCTGTCTTGGAAGAAGCACAGCCAGAATGCTCCTTAGAGCAAGGATGGCGAGACTGTCTCACATGCTTTGGACATGTTATCAGGAGGGACCAGTCTCTCGAGAAGGACATCATGCTTGGTAAATTAGAGGGTCAGCAAAAAAGAGGAAGACCCTCAACGACATGGATTGACCCAATGGTTGCAACAATGGGCCCAAGCATAACGATTGTGAGGATGGCACAGGACCAGGCAGTGTTTTGTTCTGTTGTACATGGGGTCGCTATGAGTCAGAGTGGACTCAACAGCACCTGACAACAACAATAACAATACTTTACTCAAGGGCAGCACGTAGCGGTAACTGAAACACGTTGACCCACACTCTTGACTTTTCTCCTGCCTCCCTGGTCCCTTTCTCATGCAGGCCTCTGAGGCTGTTCCTCATGTCCCCAACTTGCTGATGTTGCATGCCCCAGAATGTAGTCTCTGGACCTCTGCTGTGCCTACAGTTACTCCCTTGGTGAGCTCAGCCATCCCCATGGCCTCAAACACCATCTGTCTGCTAATGATTTCCAAGTGTCCATCTCCAGCCCAGACCTGACCCCTGCACTCCATATTTTCATAGCCATCTACCTCTTGGACATCCCCTTAGAGAAACTTCTTGTTGTTTTCAACTCATATAGACCCCATGTTACAGAGCATAACTGTCCCATAGGGTTTTCTTGGCTATAATCTTTACGGAAGCAGATAGCTAGGTCTTTAGCCTATGCAGTGGCTGGGTGGGTTTGAACTGCCAACCTTTTGTTTAGCAGCCAAGCGCTTAACCATTGCGCCACCAGGGGTCCTTTTGGAGAAACTTATCCATGTCCAGAACTAAACTTCTCATCTCCCCCACCCCACCCCAGACCTGCATCCCAACTGATGACAACTTTATCCTCCCAATTATTCAGGCCCAAAACCTTCAAATCCTGTCTTAGTCTGTCCCCCCATATCTGAACCATCAAGAAATCTTATTGGCTCAACCTTCACAGTATATCCAGAATCTGACCAATTCTCACTGCATGGTATTTGTTGGTGATTTGAACGCCATCGCCTCTCATCTAGATGATTGCAATAGCCTCCTAATATGGCTACTGTCAGTATAGCCAAGTCCTTACGTTTCCTTCCCTGTCTGACCCCATTTCCTGCAACCAGGCTCACTCTGCTTCAGCCACACAGCCCTCCTAGCTGTTCCTCAGACACATCGGACTGCTCCCATCTACCCCAGGGCCATTGCACTAGCTGATCCCTTTACCTGGAATGCTTTATCCTCAATATCTGCATGGTTAATTCCTTCACCTCCATATAGCCTTTGCTCCAATGCCATTTTCTCTTTGAGACCACCCCCGACCACTTATTTAAAATTGCAGTCATACCACTGCCGACCCCTCTTTTTCTGCTTTGTGTTTTCCCTTTAGCACTTAATCACCTTCTGTCTTAGTCTCCTGGTGCTGGTGCTGCTGTAACACAAATCCCACAAGTGGGTGGCTTTACAGAACAGAAATTTATTTTGTCACAGTTCTGGAGGCTGAAAGTCCAAATTAGGGTCTCAGCCTCGTCAATTGCTTGCTTGTTCATAGCCCTGGGCATTTGTGGGTTCCTTGGCTTGTAGATAACCTCACATGGCGTCTGTCTTCTCCCCGCGTATGTGTGCTTCTGTGTCTGATCAGCCCTTTTTACAACTCAGAGGTGATTAGGTTTAGGATCCACCCTACCCTATTAGGTCACTGACATAACAAAAGAAAAACTATTTCCAAACAAGGTCATATTTACGCAGGTACAGGGGTTAGGATTTCACACATATTTTGCGGGGGGGACATAATTCAGTCTATGTTGTTGTATGCCATCGAGTTGATTCCGACTCATAGAAATCCTGTATGACAGAGTAGCATTGCTCCATAGGGTTTCCTAGGCCGTAATCTTTATGGGAGCAGATCGTCAGGCCTTTTCTCCCATAGAGTGGCTGATAGGTTAGAACAGCTGATCTTTCGGTTAACAGCTGAGCTATTAACTGTTGTGCCACGAGGGCTCCTTATTCAATCTATAACACCTTCTGAAAGATACATAATTTCTTTATTATTGCTTATTGTCTGTCACCCTGCTGATGGAATATAAAGACCAGAAGGACAGGAAATCTGTCCACTTTCAGTAACGTGTCCCAAGCACTCTACACAGTGCCTGCCACCAGTAGGCCCTTGGTAAATATTTGTTGAAGAAATAAAAACTCTGCTAGTCTCCAGCATGTGCAGAAATAACTACTGTTCAGATTTCAACTGATATCTTTCCAGTTTTTTAATTCTTTTTCTTTACAAAATTAGAACCAGCCCATAAACACCATTTTATAACTTGATTTTATTTTTTTACT